TGCAGCTGCGTGGGGGGGACACCTTGGGGATGGGGAGAGAGGGGTCAGGGGCTCTGCAGGCAACGAGACCCATGGAGGGGGCAAGAGCAGGACAGGGCCCGCTCAGTGCCAGGGGGAAGCCACGGGTGAGCTCCCTCTGCAAGGAAAACCAAACCCTGAGATCTCACCCAGTGCCTGTGCAAGCTGTGCTGGAGGGAAGAGCACCTGGAGGCAGCGGTTCAGGTAAGGCAGCAGGTCCTCCAGGAAGGCTGTGCAAAACTGGGTAAAGAGCTCCTGCTCCCGCCCACTGAAAGCCGCCTCCTCAGCACGGTGGAAGGCCAGGATGGTTTTGGTCACCTGGGGAGAGAGAGAGGCAGATGGGTCACCTGATGACAGCCATGTGCCCAGGTGGGTAAGGGGGCCAACGGCACCTGGCTTGTACCAGCAGCAGCGTGGCCACAGGCCCAGAGAAGTGCCCATTTTCCTGTGCTGGGCATTGGTGATGCCACACCTGGAATCCTGGGGTCAGTTCTGGGACACTAAGATACATGTTGTGGGGCTGGAGTGTGTCCAGGGAAGGGAATGGAGCTGGAAAAGGAGCTGAAGCACAAGGAGCAGCTGGGGGGGTACCATGGAGAAAAGGAGGCTTGAGAGAGACCTTCTCACCCTGCACTACTCTCTGAACTGAGGGGCAGCCGGGGTGGGGCTGGGCTCTGCTCCCAGAGAACAAGGGACAGGACAAGAAGAAATAGCCTCAAGTTGTGCCACAGGAAGTTTAAGCTGGATATGAGGAAAATTTCTTCAGAGAAAGAGCTGTCCAGCCCTGGCACAGGGCAGTGGTGGAATCCCCATCCCTGGGGAGATTTAGTAGCTGTGGGGATGTGGCACTTGAGGACATGGGTTAGGGGTGGCCTTGGCAGTGCAGGGGGAGTGGTTGGACTGGATGATCTCAGAGCTTTCCCAACCCAGCCCATGATCTCCCAGGACAAGTCCCAGCTCCATCCCTGGACTCACCTCACCAAGGGCACTGTCCAGGCAGGNCCCTCCCTGGCTGCGCTCCACTCTTCTTCCTGCTCTTTTTTATTTTTTAACTTAATGCTGCTTTGGGTTCTGTCTTGTTTATATGAAAATAAAAACAATCTGAGTGCTTCAGCCAGTGCCCAGCCACTCCCCAAAGCTCTGCCCACACCTGGGGGCTCAGCCCAGCCCCACCTCCTGTTCCCCAAAATGCAATGATCCTGAGCCTCTGTCTGTCCCAAGGGGGTGGGGGCCCTTGCACTCCAGCCATCCCAGACAGGGATTTGTGCTTCCAGGGGGCTACTTGGATGGAGCAGCCATGAGCTGATGGTACCCACCTGCCCACAGCCCATGTCCTGCTGTGCAGCCCCTGGGCTCCCCTCAGCCTCGCTGCCCACCAGCCCCATCCCAGTGCCCCCTGTGCTGTGCCCACGCTGTGACCATGAGCCCCAAACAAGCCCCAGAGGGAAGGATGGAAGGATCCCTCCTTTGCCCCTCCCCTGCAGAGCCTTGGCAGCGGGATGTTCCCAGACCCACAAGGAATTCGCGGTGCCCAGGGCAGTGTGGGCAGGATCCCGGCTGCCTCCCTGTGCCCACCCGGGGCAGGAAGGGCCGGAGCCAGGCTGAGGCCACAGGTGTGTATTGGCTGCAATAAAGCAGAGTGGGAGCCCCCAGAGCCGCGCTGGTTCTTGCCCAGGCTCAGTCCAGCAGCTCCATCCAGCCCACGTTGGTGAAGGTGCGGGGGTCCATGCGGTCGATGTAGAGGATCCCATCCAGGTGGTCCATCTCGTGCTGGATGATCCGGGCGGCCCAGCCCGACGCCTCCCAGCTCACCGGCACCCCCAGCTCGTCCACACCTGCGCCCGTAGCGGTGGGTTGGGGGGAGATTCGCGGAAAAAGGGGGGACCCGTGTGAGAGTTGGGGGAGATGTGAGAGAACAGGGTGACTGTGTGAGAGTGGGGACCTGCGTGTGGTGGGATCCGTGAGAGAACAGGGAACCCATCAGAGAATTAAGGGACCCGTGTGAGGGAGGGGCAGGTGCGGGTCGGTCCGTACCGGTGACATGGACGGCCCAGTGCCGCGGGACGNAGATGAGGCTCACAGCGACAAGGCCAAGGAGAGCATCCGAGCCAAGTGCATGCAGTACCTGGACCGCGCCGAGAAGCTGAAGGAGTACCTGCGGGGCAAGGACCGGCACGGCAAGAGGCCTGTCAGGGAAGCACAGAATGACAACAAGGGGTGCGTGCGGGACGGGGGGCGAGGGATCCCCGGTCTGGCCACGGAGCTGGCAGGACCCCCCTTGCCACACCAGTGCCAGTCCTGCTCCTGAACCCTGTCCCCTGTCCCCAGGAGTGACAGTGACAGCGAGGGCGAGAACCCTGAGAAGAAGAAGTTGCAGGAGCAGCTGATGGGTGAGAGGCTGTGATGGGCTCGATGCTCTAGGAGGGATTCACTGACAGCCCTGTCTGGGGCGGCTGTGGCGAGGGGAACAGGCTGTGGGGTTGGGACCCAGGGGTGTGTTCCTGTGGGCTGCTTACCCCAAACAGCTGCTGTGCTCAGGGGAGGCAGGACTGGGGGTGTGGGACTCTGGCTGTCATTGTGCCCATCTTGGTGGGGCCATGGCAGCAGAGTCACACCCTCACAGGTGCCATCATGATGGAGAAGCCCAACGTGCGGTGGAGCGACGTGGCCGGGCTGGAGGGAGCCAAGGAAGCCCTGAAGGAGGCCGTGATCCTGCCCATCAAGTTCCCACACCTGTTCACAGGTGAGGCCGTGGTGCTGGGAGGGGGCTGTGCAGGAGGTGACCCCTCTGTGGGTGACTCCAGCACGGGGCTGACCCTGGTGTGTGCCGCAGGGAAGCGCACGCCCTGGCGCGGGATCCTGCTCTTTGGGCCGCCTGGCACCGGCAAGTCCTACCTGGCCAAGGCCGTGGCCACCGAGGCCAACAACTCCACCTTCTTCTCTGTGTCCTCCTCTGACCTGACATCGAAATGGCTGGGGGAGAGTGAGAAGTAAGTTGGCAGCAGGGACATGGCACAGCTTGGCTCCTGGTGCTCTGACAGCCAGGGTAGAGAAGGGGCCACCAGCTCAGGGAACCCCAGTAACGGGGCTGTTAAAGAATTGGGAGCTGCTGCCTTCAGAGAAGGGGTCTGAGCAAAGCAATCCCTGGGCCTCTTCCCTCACAGCCTGTGCCCCCTCATCTTTTCAGACCTCTCAGTCCAACAGCAACTTTAAGCTGGGGTCTTCTAACACTTAACTGGATTCTGTCTCTTTGTCTTAATTAACTGCTCTCATGCCCCATCTTGGGGCAGCTTTGGGACCCTCCAGAATTGCAGCTCTTACCTGAAAGTTTCCCATCTGTCCATTCTCAGAATTCATTTACAGCTCGCTTACAGCAAGCTTTGAGCAGAGCCCACCCCTGCCAAGCTGTGAGCAAGTCATAATTAAACTTAACTCTACATTATTAATTTCTGACACCCTGTAATTAGATTTACTTTAATCCTCAGCAGGGTCCCAGGGGGGAGCACAGTCCCCTGAAGGGCTGCACAGCCCCTGGTGTGGCACTTCCCTTGCTGCCAGTGTGGGGTTCTCAGAATGGGAGGAACGTGGGGCTGCCCTGGTGCTGCTGAGGAGGGTCTCTGAGCGGGGACCCCATCCCCTGCTCTGTTCCCAGGCTGGTGAAGAACCTGTTTGAGCTGGCAAGGCAGCACAAGCCCTCCATCATCTTCATCGATGAGGTGGACTCGCTGTGTGGCTCCCGCAACGAGAACGAGAGCGAGGCGGCGCGGCGCATCAAGACCGAGTTCCTGGTGCAGATGCAGGGTGGGTGCCTGTGCCAGGGATGGGAGGGAGCAGGACAAGGCAGGCAGCACCTGGGGACTCAGAATCCCTGGAGATTGTTCTGAGCCGTCTGCCTGCAGGTGTGGGGAACAGCAGCGACGGGATCCTGGTGCTGGGTGCCACCAACATCCCCTGGGTGCTGGACTCGGCCATCAGGAGAAGGTGAGCCCCACACACAGCCCCTGTGGCAGCCCCCCAGCAGGGCTGGAACCGGGGCTCACCCCTCGTGCCCACAGGTTCGAGAAGAGGATCTACATCCCCCTGCCCGAGGAGGCGGCGCGGGCGCAGATGTTCCGGCTACACCTGGGGAACACCCCGCACTCGCTGACGGACGCCAACATCCAGGAGCTGGCCCGCAAGACCGATGGCTACTCGGGGGCCGACATCAGCATCATCGTCAGGGACGCGCTGATGCAGCCCGTGCGCAAGGTGCAGTCGGCCACGCACTTCAAGAAGGTGAGTGGGGGTGGTCCCGGGCAGGGGAGGGCACTGTGGCTGCTGTCCCCACCCCAGCTCGGTGCCACGTGCCGCTGGCTCTGCAGGTCCGTGGTCCCTCCCGCACCACCCCCGGTGCCATCGTGGATGATCTCCTGACGCCGTGCTCGCCCGGGGACCCTGGGGCCACCGAGATGACCTGGATGGAGGTGCCCAGCGACAAGCTGATGGAGCCTGTTGTCTGCATGGTAAGTGTCCCCTCCGTGGCTTTGGCCTGGCCACTTCCCTGCTCATCCTCCAGGCCAAGGGCCGGGCAAGGCTGTGGCTCCTGGGGTGGACACAAACCCCCAGTGGAAGGCTGGGTGACAGGAAAGGGCCTTGGGTCTGCCAGGCAGCTCCCACCCGTGGTCAGTGCTGCTGCCATGGGGCAAAGGTGCCTCACTGCCATGGGGGTCCCTGTCCCGTGCCCTCGCCTGGTCTGAGCCATGTCCCACCCACCTGTGTTGCAGTCAGACATGCTGCGCTCGCTGGCCACCACCCGCCCCACCGTCAATGCCGAGGATCTCCTCAAAGTGAAGAAATTCACGGAGGACTTTGGACAGGAAGGTTGAGGGGG